AAAAAAAGTCAAGAGTTTTAGTTTCGCGCCAAGCCGTCATTGCGCTAACACCCGAAAATTCACTGAGTCTAGTTGAAGATATTGAAAAATATCGACATTTCTCTTTCTCAATATTTTTCCAATAATACTTCTTCATGAAAAGTTTCGCACTCCATCTTTCGCACTCCGATGTTTTGCTTTGGTTGATTCCAATCAAATATTTACAAAAATTGCTGTTGTTTGTTTAAAAAGGTATTATTTTGATTTTATGACTTTTATCATAATATTATTGTATAAATGTGAACTATAAAATTAACAATTTTTCATTTAAAATAAGTTCGATTAATGTAATTAATAATTCTATATAAGAATCAAATTACAATATTAATTCTTCTGCAAAATTTATATGTGTAATTTGCGTGTTTTATTCAATATTATCACCAATATACGTTTGGAACTTTTCCATTTACCAATGATGTCTTTAAGGACAACAATTTTTATTTATTCGTTAATTTGTATCAATTGCATCGTCACTTGGAAGGAGATAAATTTTAATGTTGTGCTGATATTGGCTAAAGTTTACATATTTTTCATCACCTTCATTCCTATCAGTATCTGTGTTTTTATACAAGTGTTGTTCCTTTTTCTTCTTCTAATTTAATTAAATATATTCTTACAATGAACCAAATTGTATGGGAATGGTAAATAATTAAATAAATTAAATGTTAGCCATCCATGAAGAGATAGATTCAGTCCCCCCATAAGCAACTGATGTGGTGATGATCAAAGTCTTAATTCTAGTTACTGATTGTCAGTAAATGCCGTTGAAAATTCCAATAGCACGACAGCATGTTTTTTTTCTTTTCAACTGTCCGCCAATCCACCTTTTAGACTTTATAAAAAAATTGCAACAAAGTGATGAAACCTAGAAGATAGGGGAGATTTAATTCGCATCCTCGGCAATATACCTTAGCAGCTGATTTATTCAGTGTCGGAGCAGGCGAGGAATAAACCACATATTTGAACACCCACACCAAAAGGTACGTATAATCTCTTTCGCAGACACGTTCTGCCTACGAAAATGCCACATTTGCTTAAGCAAAACCGCGATTTATTAAACCGTCGCCCCGAATCTTGCTGCTTCATTACATGCAACATTTCGACGTGTTGTCTTTTAGTAGCTTTAATTGCTTGCCAACAGACAGACGTTGATGGACCAAAACTGAACATAAAGCAACTATTTAGAATTGCACCATCATATTATATTCGCAGTTTTATTGTACCACAATATTTTACATTTCATACGCCGTTGTGTATCTGAAAAATGGACTACTTACATATGTATGCATGTAGTTGGGTTGTTTGATTTCAGCGCTAGTTTCGCGGGCAAAACTCTTAAAATTTATCACATGTTATGCCGCTTCAATTTCATTAATATGCAATTTGCAAGGTAACTGATAGAAAACGCCCGATCCGTAGGGCATTTTGCCGAGTATGTGCTTTTAAAAAGACTTTATAACCTTCATAGCCGGAAGCGAGGATTTTAGATGCGGCCACGATCACTATATTTTACAGCCAGAATTTATTAATGTATATAATAGCTATTTTTCACGAAGTAAATTGTAGAACCAAGKCATTTCCTGCTAGRACGTGAATGAAAATAAACAATAAKATTTGCRAAAAGTTGAACAGAAAACTRCAACTAAAAGCATTTGGATAAGATCGCTAATTCAAATTATTCGGTCAGGAGTAATTGGAAAATTCATCTCCAACATCAGTCTGTAAATCCTCATCWAAATGTAAARCAAATATTTWTTTCCACATAAMATTWTTAGATTTTTTTAYRAAATGWRCAACTRKCTTTTGAATAWAGATATTYCTAAAAYTCATGGAAGACAGTTGTTATATTTGAGAAATGGTTTAAAACTCAAACAGTAATTTTAAAAGCGAAAAATTACCGGAAAAAGCTCTGCTGCTAGTCGATAATGCGATTAGTGATGATTCAGACTCTGGAGTGGCAGACTTAATTCAATTGGCAATAATCAGACGAATAATTATGAAGACATGAAAATAGTACGACGCTCTTTTCCTCATTATCAGCTTCGTAACCGAAGAAAATCTCACARTTAGTGAAGTCAAAGCATGGATTGAAAATGATGATGAGACTTGACTACCTGTAGAAGAATGCGAAACATAGGAWGCATGTGATAGTGAGAACCCCGGGAAAGCTGAAMTRRCGATTGCTGTCCSARAATTTAAARACAAAGAAGCYGTTRAAGCTTTCGGTTTGTGCYTGAAGTGGGCAGAAATGAACAAAATYARTGCTTCAAAAATTAAAAGAGMTGKATGTTCTGTCTATAGTGTTATAAAACATTCCAATSTAAGAAAGAAGAAAAGAAAAAAATAYAATAATTAATTKCYCACTAACCGGCAATTCAAGAAATATTTATTGTTGMTTTGMCTAMGYTGTGTAATGTAAGTAATATAMTGGGTGATTCACAACATTTGGACACAGACCAGGGGCGTGCAGAGGACCTCAAAACAAATCGAGTTTCCAGTTTAGTTTTTTTTCTCAGGCCCATGGTTAACAAGATACAGRGTGTTAAWSTTTCAAAAAAATKTTGGTATTTTCTCTACAGTTCATGAGATATTTTGCTSAAATTTTTAACGTAGGCCATGTAGTTTCTGGTTGATTTTCTATGAATTTTTTWATAMACTTTTTTGTGCTCTTTTGTTGACATTTTTCTGTGAAAGGTTCAAGYGCAAGTTGAAGTTWAAATAGGGATGGCTGACGAGTTAACTTCTTTAATTTAATTTAYMATAATTGAGGTTTATCGGCTGTAAGCTAATCCAAATARAAATRCACRAAAAAGGTAACGAATATTTGATGTYATTATTAAAATAAATTCTYTCACAAAAAAATGTGAACRAAAGGACGCAAAAAYATATARGAAAATTCATGGAAAATCTCCCAGGAACCCTACATGRACTTATATTTGTKYAAATAAATCGAAAACGAAGGCAGATACGAAAAACTGCAGGAGATCAGAAAAATTCTTAAATTGAACARCAAATGCAAAAATRTGTTCGTTCGAAGTAAGTGGCGYAGCACAAAAAAGKTYGGGAGGTGGGGGTAAAAGCRGGTATGCCTCCARAAMTACCCCCTGTAGATTTTCACAACCAGATGCCTTACCTACTGGTAAAGGGTCTAAACATTAGCCTACGTTAAAAACTTGGGCAAAATATCTTCTAAACTGTAGGAGGTAAAGAGAAAATACCAATATTTTTGTAAAACTTTAACACCCTGTATCTCGTTAACTATCGGCCTGAAAAAAAAAATGTAAATGAAAACTCGACTTGTTTTGATGTCCTCTACACGCCCCTGCTCTGTGTAACAGACAATTTATTCTCAAATCTACCCAATTCGCTACCCAAAAATCACTTCGAAAACAAAACAAATTTCCCGACTTGCGATAGACCATTTTATTTTCAATTCAACCCGACCAGTTTCGTGTTCAAAAATGTAATTATTTCCTTTTCTGTTCTATTTCACACCATACTTGCCCTAAAAGCTATGAGATTTCATAACATACCGCACTAGCTCAGGTTTCCCGCATCAAAAAAAAAAGCTAAAAACCCAGTGCGATTTTTCCTGAAAATGGAAAAATGCAGTTATAAAGTGTAAATGTATGCCTTTTGTGATTTGAAAGTGCACCAAACTCGTAGGGTGCTCCAATTTAACAAATGTATTCGGACTGCAAATTAGTCACATGCATGCTATTCAGATAATTCGTTTGCCTGGCCAGTGTCTAAAATGCAAATATAATAATGCAGATTAGTTCGAACGGTGTTTCAAACGTATGCATCATATCGAGCTTAGTGAACAGCAAGCAGAGTGATAGGGAATACTTGGAATAACCAGACGATAATTAAATAATAAATAAAAAATGGAAGGGAAGAGATGTTTAGCAAACACTTTGATATTTTAAATGTGTCTCGAAATTTTCACTTATTAAGGTCTTTGTTAAATTGGTGTATTCATTAGTTTTCGAGATGTGTTAATCGCCGGCACCACAAGGGCTAGTTTCGAATCAATTCGGTCTCATCAGCTAGGTTTATTACATATTTGAACGGTGATTCAAAATTAAGAGCACTAATTTAAGAACCGTAGTCTACCCCCCGAATTAAGGATAAAAGTCTATTTCAGCATAGGCCATAAAAATATAGGTGTTTTTCTGATACCGGTACCTGATTGGCCGATACCAAACATCTTCAAAGGGTAAAAATTTATATTTCAAATTTCAATCAAACTTTTGGAGCTATGAGAAAGACCCTGAAAAAATTTGCAAACTTTGACACCATGTTTTTTTATCCCAAGACGTTGGCAGTCTTTTTATAGATATTTTCCTCATTTATCGACGTAAAACTCGGTCCTCAAGTTAGTAAACCAAATTTTGCACTCATCCAGTAATAATCACGCAACGCAAAATAGTTATAGAAAAATATCCTTAATTACGCCCAAAACCATGAATGAATATTTCATAGTATAATTAAGAATGTTAATCAATCAGCTGAAGATTCAGAATAATTATCAAGAGCTCAAAATAGGCAAAAATGTATTGATAAAATTTGTTTCCAATTATGCAGCGGACTTCAAAACCAGTGCATATTTTAATAAAACAGACTCCTTCGTTTGAATTAATTTAGCATGTTTATACAAAATTTAATTAGCTAAATAAAAGGTAAAGCTAAATTACAAATTCATTTTCAATGTCTCAGAAGTTAATAAATTAATTTAAGCTGGTTTTACTTCATAGGCTTATGTTCAACTCCATGCCCAAGATTCCYCTTTCTYATAAATTTTCGTTATTTTCAACYTAAATCATTCTAGAATAGACATACAAAAAAAACTAACAAAAACGTGCCTATGGGKCAGGATTTCGTACAATTTAATTATTATATATCCTGTCTTTGGGCCAGTCACATAAACAGAATCAAGCGCCGAAAGTGAAATTCCTTACCGGAACTCGGTGGAGTTGTGGGCGTGGTCTGTTGACTTTGATCAGTCTTTTCTTTCTCCTCTTGCTCCCTTGTTTGGCCATCCATCTCGCTGTCGGACTGCGAAGCCTCACCTGGAATTAAAGAGACAGATCTATTAAGCGAAATTACTTTCAGTTGCCTGTTGTGTATCTTTCTTATCGACGGCTCCCTAAAAGTGATACACTTCAGGGAATTTGCCTTTTCATGGGAGAATTGAACAACTCTGTTGGGAGAAATTGATTCTGGGCAACTTTGCAATGAATAATTTCTAATCTAAAGTGATCCCTCATCATAATATATTATGGATGAAGTGTTTATTTCCAACTTCCCTTTTTGGGTAAAATCGCAAAAGTGCCAATTAGTCGAGCAGCTTTCAGTGTGCCGAAAAAACATATAAAAGCCCTTGATATTGATTTCGGCATCTTTAAACAGAACGTCTGGCAAAAACCCGCAAGATACCTTTCGGCCATATTTAGAAAATTTAAGTTGTTTTTAGAACCAAAACATCTCAAACACTCCAGTTTCCGCTTCTCAATCATTTTCTGAGCTATTGCTATTTGGTTGCAAGTGGCTTCACGTTAAAATATTCACTTGAGTTTTCCCATTAGGCCCCCGTCCGTGTTGCATAAAGTTACTATCGAATTAACTGCAACAAACGATACAAACGAGCATTTGTTCGGGAGTAAAGTCGGACCAGATTCAATGAAACAAACGAATCTCCAGCAAAGTTTGCACAAACTCGTCCAACTGCGAATGCAGACATTAATATTGAACGCAGAGTAATAATCTGGAAGCCCGTTCCAGCTCTCCAGACGTGCAACTCTGTTATAAACGAGTGATTTTCTTGTCTAGAGCAAAATCTCTGGATTTGTTGGACTTGATAACTTTCCAGCTATAGATCAGATGAATGATGTTTGAAGCAGTTGCTTTGACTCCTAACAAGGCGAAACTAGTCATTTCGTTAAATTTACAAATTTAGGCACATTTAAGCCAATTTTTCTTTCAAATATTGTCATTTGTGAATGTGTAAGGAACTTTGAAACTAGAAGGACTATCGGTGTCTACTATCGGAAACTATCCAGATTTTGTCTCCCTTCCAGAGCAGGTTTTCATTGTCACTTCATTATATAAGCACTTGGAAGAAATCTCCAAGAGCATAAAGCAGCAGAAAAGAGGACAAAAATAAAATAATAAACTCTTAAAACAAGAGACCACAAAGACGTATCGTTGTTTGAATGTTTCAATGTATCTTAGTTAAATTTTATATTTCAGATATATTTCATCTTCATTTTTGATCAAAATACAAAATTCTTCTGCTAGTTTAGTACGCTGTTTGAAACCATACGCTATGTATGTATAGGTTTTAATAGATGATTAAAGCGTTATGTTGAAAAAATTCTTTAAAACGCTACAGTAACAGCTTTATGTGATCATTCGTCTTATTTTTCGGTTTAGATTATTTAATTATTTTACCTTTTCTTACGCTATTATTATACATCTCCGGTTTACATGAGATTTTCCTATTTCAATTCCTGAATGTTTCGTTTTATTCGCAAGCACGTTGTTAGTGAATACACACAAAATTTTATTTTAACATTAGTTTTATGATCCAAGCCTAAGCTTGGATGTTTTAAACACATCCAACAAATGGATGTATATGATATTGAAGCAAATACACTGCACCGCTAATTTAACACAGCTTAAATATTTCCTAAATTTTAGCCCATTTGAATAATTCCTTGATCAAATCATAGCTCTAGTCTTGTACAAAATTCTAATTAGAACATGAACAAAAAAAATAAAAAGTAAAATTGTACATGTTGTTTAAATACCATGCTAAACCATATTTTCTTTGTCGAAATTTACAGTTTTCTTCGAGCAATTTGGGGAAGCCCAGAGCTAAAAAAGAATACGATGTAGCCTCGTGTCTTCTGAGTAAAGTGAATCTTCAAATGTCTGTTTATTTTGAACCATTCGACAGGTGTTCGATTTTTTACCGATCACATTTTCCTCGCGAAATTAACACCAACTTTTATTTTTATTTTCAAAAAAACTTTTTGGCTAAAAGGTTGTGCGGACAATATTTCACTCCAAGTTTATGCTTATGTTGTCACTTTCTGTGCTACTATTAAGTGGTAAAAGTTTCTGTTTACCTAAGGATAAGGCATTTTTATTTTTACGCCCAAACATATTGCTTTTGTTAAAACTTAATGGCACAAACACAGAGAGTGAGAAAATAAAAAAGCTAACAACTTGTGATAAAACGTTGTTCGTCCAGCCTTTTTGCCAGACATTTTCTTCGCAACTAAAAGTATCAGGAAGCTTCGCACAAAAAATGTCATAAAAATCAATATGTCTCGAATAACTCACAATAAACAGACAAAGATCCAAATGACTTAAAAGACATGAGGCTATAACATCGTATACCGAGGAAACCTGACAGTATTTAAACAACCTTTGAAATATGTTAATTTCATTTTGTTTGAGATATTTTAACTTGAATTTTGTCCAAGAATAGAGCTATAATTCGATTAACAAATTATTCAAATCAGATCACGAACTCAGAAAATATTGACAGTCAAAATTTATGGAATATTTAAGCTTCGTATTAAATTTGCGGAGCAGAGAGTAACAATTGATTTCCATTAAGATTATTTGGCTCTTCTTTCGGAAGTACATACTTTTTCAGCTTATTTATGTACATATTACTGGATTGCTTTCATCATGTTCAGTCTCCTTAAACAATTTAATTAATATGGAATAAAACCATTAACTTCGTTCAGTCTATTTCTGTATGTATTACTTAGTAACCTTCATCATATTCAGTGACTTTTAACATTCCAAATTTTATGGAATATATTTTTAAGATTTAATTACTAATTTTCACATTATCTTAAAACCCAGATAAAGCGTTTTTGTTGGTCATCAAACTTCCAATATGTATTTTGTCATTTTACCTGCCTTATAAATACATTTTTTTTTCCTTTTTTGTCGGTCTTTTATCCATTCTCTGCTGTATTTTTCCCCAATTTGATTTGGCTTGGTGTTACTTGAAAAGCATTAGTGTTACGTTCCACATCATAGTTTGTAAAAAAATAGTAAGTTTTGAATATTTTTGATATTGAGCTAATGAAAAGAATCACAACAATGTTTGCATCATAAGTTGCATGAAACATTGTTACGCTTGCTATAACTATAAATTTTCAACAAAACAACCGCTGTTTGAAAATTCCAGCACTAAATAAGCAGGAAAAAACTAAAATAGAAGGTTAATGGAATTTCAGTGATAAAAATAAATAGGTGTTATATATTTTGCAAGCACATAAAATCGACGAGCTCTATATTTGCTAATGGACACTAAACAAGATATGAATTGCCCTGACGAACGTTGGCAGCTCATTGGTTGATAATAAAATCTGAAATGGGTATTAAATGCCTCTTAAAGCCTGATTGAAAAGCACCTGGATGGCGCCAATATAAACAGTATGCGTTCACACGGCAGTCTGATATAAAGCTTTTTGTTAGGATCAATTTCAGTAATTCAGTGCTTTAATGAGTAATTCCAGTTAAATAGAAATCTATTTTAGAAGAAATCTAATAGTAAGGGCGACGAACCATTTTAATTCTCAAGTACAGGAATTTAGCAAAATTATGTATAATTCTATAATAATACAATAATTGCAAGCAAATCTTTTAAATTGTACATGATATTTTCATTCATAAACAGGCTACTCCTGGCTAATATTGCTACAAAAATTTACAGGTTAGAAAGATTAAACTTATCTTGCTGTTTCGATGCCTAAGCAGCTTTCAGATTTTATTGTCAATGACAGTTTTATCTATTTAATGAATCTGTTATGCATCAATTTCCAATTAAATAACTTGAAAAAAACTTAATATAAACCCAATAAAAATTTCAAATAAACTTGTTAAATTACATATCGATATGCACATTTTATCGGATAAATACAGCAAGTTGTTGTTGTTCTTGTTTTGCTTTGAAAGTTATCTAATAAATTCAAAAGTTTATAAGCTTTGGCAGTTTCCATTCTCAATAATCTGACTTTCTACAAACATTTCTGAAAAACTTTTTTTAAATGTTTGCCTCTAAAACGAGCGTTGATTTAGTATATGTAGAGTTATCCGCAACTTTTTCCTGGAAAATTAAATTGTTGAAAATCCTTATCAAACTTGAACTAAAAAGAAAAACTGCTGCTAAAAGCAACGAGCATAATTTTTGAGCACCTTATTCAATGAAAAAAAGTTTTTTGACGGAAATTATTTTCATAATATAGGAATGTTTCGAAAATAATAACATTTGAGAAGAAATATGTTTAAACTGCATTATTTAACAACTATAATAGCTTTTATAAATTCTGCTAAATAATGAACAGTTCACGTTTCAACATCGGCCTTGTGCTGGGTTGTCTTTAAGAGAGCGGAATAAATATAGAAACAAGAGTTTTCATGTCTACCTAATTAACGAAATACTATATTAAGTAGTTAACGAAGCAATTGAAGCTGTATTATTATGTATCGTTACTAAATGTTCCAAGGCTGGATTAAAACATTATGACAATAACAAGGTTCATTCTTTAACTTTAAAATGATGATGCTTCCAATTCACGATAGCCTGTTTTATAATATTTAAATTTGTAATGAGACGATCTAACAATCTTTGTTGCAATTTACATAGTGATTATTTATATGATTTTTATTTTTCGTCAAATTCCGGACGCATTTTTCATTTTGTTTAAATTGCAAATCTCTTCTTGTACATCTATATCTTTGTAGCAAATCTTAACTTAATCGTTCCATGAATATCAAATTTTAAGTTTTAATAGTTAAAAGATTACATTTTTGGTCCGCCCAAGAAGATCATATTTATCGGTAAAATTAATGAAATTTTTGCAGTTTGCTTTTTGTATGTATAATTTTATAACTTATTTTTCAATTCTATATCATGTATATATGGATATTCGTTTCTAATCACTTATTTAACTAATCTACCATACTATATGCTTTTCTTTACCGAAAACGAATTTTTAATTACAAATATACAGCTACAGTATTTAATAAAAGCGAATGTTCA